TAGGGCTGGGGATGTGGCTCAAGTGGTAGCACGCTTGTCTGGCATGTGAGCAGCCCGGGTTCAAACCTCAGCACCACATAGAAACAAAGATGTTGTGTCCGCCGAGAATATAAATATTAAAAATTTTAAAAAAAAAGAATATATTTATAAAGTCTATTATTTTCTTGGAAAGTTTTTGTCTCATTTTTATATCCAGGTAATGCTGGCCTCAGAGAATGAATTGGAAGACTTTGTGAAGCACTGATATTAATTATTTTTTAAATATTTGGTACAATTCATCAATGTACCAAATTCCTCTGTTTTTTTTTTTTTTTGGAAGACTTTGTGAAGGATTGATATTAATTCTTTTTTAAATGTTTGGTACAATTCATCAATGATCAATCTGGGCCTGGGCTTTTCTTTGGGGATATGTTTTGATTTCTAATCCAATCTCATTATAGGTCTATTCAGATTTTTCTATTTTTTTTTCTTGAGTCAGTTGTGGTAGTTTGTAATTTTCTGGGAATTTTTCTATTTCATCTAGGTTCTTTAATTTTTGGTACACAGTTGTTCCTACTATTTCCTTCTATATGCCTTTTTATTTTTGTAAAGTTAGTAATATTGCTTTTTTCAATCCTGATGTTAGTAATTTGAATCTTCTAGGTTTCATTTATATATTTTATTTCCTCATTTTTATTGGTGCATTATAATTGTACATATTGATGGGTTTTGTTGTTACATATTTGTACATGCATATAATATAACAATATAACTTGGCCAAAATCACTTCCCAGCATTTTCCTCCTGCCTCCCTGGCTTTCACCTCTTGGTCCCTTTCCTTTATTGGTGTCCTTTTGATGTTTAGGAGATTCACCCCACCTTTATTTTCCTTTTTCTTCTCTAGCTTCCATATATGAGAGAAAACATAGTACCCTTAGCCTTTTGAATTTGACTTATTTCACTTAATAAGATGGTCTCTAGTTCCGTCCATTTTCCTGCAAATGCCATCATTTCATTTTTTCTTTATGCTTGAATAAAACTCCATTGTGTGTGTATGTATGTATACCACATTATATATTTATATTTATATATATATATATATATATATATATATATATATATATATATATACACACACACACACACATACACTTTTTCTTAATTCTTTCATATGTCAATGGACATTTAGGTTGGTTCCATAGTTTGGCTGTTGTGAATTGTGCTGCACAATTCCCAGTGTGTATGCATGTGTCACTGTAGTAAGATGCCTTTAATTCTTTAGAGTAAATAGAAAGAAGTGGTATACCTGGGTCATATGGTGGTCCATGCCTAGTCTTTTGAGGAGTCTCTATACTGATTTCCATAGCAGTAGTTTAATTTATTTTTAATTCCCAATTAATATATTCTTGTGAAAATGCAACCATTGCAGATAAAACTAAAGCCTGATTTCCATCCCCAGTCCCCAACTTTTTTCAGAGATAACTCCAGCTGTGTATATTATAGTTAGTATATAGCATAATTACATAGTTTTAAGCTAGTGTGTTAGTTTCTATTGCTTCATAAAAATTAAAATTTATTTTAGGTGCTTAAAAGAAACTATAAAGTTAGTAGCTGAAACAATACCAGTTTATTCTTTCTTTCTTTTTTTTTTTTAAGTCCAGGTACTAGTTATCTGGGTCCTTAGCTCAGGGTACCACCAGGTTGAAATCAAGATGTTGGCTGGGTCATTTGTGGCTTTGTATCCTTCTCTAAGCTCAATATTTTTTGGCAGAATTTAGTTATTTGCATTTGTAGGATTAAGTTCTCCATTTACTTGCTGGCTGTCAACCAAAAAAGAGTATTAGCTCTCAGAGACCACCTAGCATTCTCTGCCACAAAACTGTTTGCTCCTTTAAAGCAAATAGAGAAGATATACATGGTGTCAAATCTCTCTGACCTTCTTCTGTCTCTGACCTCTAGACACAGATTTTTTTTGGGGGGGGGTGATGCTGGGGATTGAACCCAGGGCTTTGCACATACTAGGCAAGTGCTGTACCACCGAGGTACATCCTCAGCCCTAGGCCCAGATT